TATTTTGTTCAGAGAGGCTTGGGAGTTCCTCTGCAGCCAAACCCTCAACACCAAGAAGCCAAGCAATTGTTGCAAGATGGCTTGAAATCCCTGAACCCCTAAACCCGAAGCCCCAAGCCCTAAACCACACACCCTAAACCCTAAACCCTAAACCCTAAACCCAGGCTCGCGCGCCCCCCCCTGGCGACACCTCCTCAAAGTGAATGGCCACCGCACCTCGGAGTCGAATTTGGGGAGGGTTTGGGGTTTGGGGTTTGGGGGTTTGGGGTTTAGGGTTTAGGGGTTGGGGTTTGGGGTTTAGGGTTTAGGGTTTAGGGCAACCCTAAACCCTGAACCCTGGGCATCTCCACATTCTAGCCGAAGCACCTCCATGGAGCGGGGGTAGAGGTTTAAGTTTCAGCCCTAAGCCCTAAACTCGGAGCCCTAAACCCTAAACCTTATAAATCCTACTGACCTAAACCCAAACCCCCTTCAAACTTACGCCCCTGCACATCTCCAGACCCAGGTCCTGTTTTGCTGACCCCGAGCCCCAAACCCTGAGCCCAAAAACCCGAAGTCCTAAGTCCCCGAAACCCTAAACATTAGGTGTAAGGTTTAGGGCTTCGTGTTTCTAATAACTAAGCCCCAGAAACCCGAAAACCGCAAACCCTAAACAAACAGTAAACAACCCGAAGGACTGAGGGGTCAGGGAGGGCTTGGGCACGTGAAGCAACTTCTGGCGCAGCTCACTGGGGTTTAGGGTGTGGGGCTAACGCTAAACCCTAAACCCTAAACCCTAAACCCTAAGATTTGTTAGTTCAGAGTTCCCGATGAGTGTGTCTTAAACCCCAGCGAGCTCTTTGCGTTTTGCAGCATTGACCTTATGCAGTTCCTAGCTCGTCCTTTGCCCTAAAATTGCCCAAATCTAACCCAAAGGGTCTCAACCAACAGTCCCTTAACAGAAGAACTCAGGTCGTTCCCGACCCTGCAGCAGCCACAAGCGCCGCAGCCGCCCCCTGCACCGCAGTTAACCACGAGATCCTCAACCCTCCGCCCGTCCTCCGACCCCGATATCCTTCCTAGTAGTAGAGTAGGTAACCTTTAACCTTTTTGGGGTAGTAGAATCCCTTAGAATCCCAAAGGTTAGCCTTAAATTCCCCCAGGTTACTGGACAACTAAGCCTCGGCAGTGGTGATATAAACAGTATCCCAGAGGGAAAGGCCACAACCCGGTTGTGGGCAACTCCTCCGTCTATCCTCCGCGCCCCCAATCAACTTTCGAATCCTCTGAAGTGAATGTGAGATAGTAGGTGTTCCTACGCGCGTAAATCCCTCAAACCTGGCCAGGAAAGGTCGCTTCAACACCCTTCCCCCTCTCTAAGTAAACCTAAACCCGAATTTCGGGTCCCGAAACCATAAGGCCTAAACCCTAAACGCTAAACCCTAAACCCTAAACCCTAAACCCTAAACCCTAAACCCTAAACCCTAAACCCTAAACCCTAAACCCTAAACCCTAAACCCTAAACCCTAAACCCTAAACCCTAAACCCTAAACCCTAAACCCTAACCCCTAAACCCACCCAAAACCCTAAACCCTAAACCCTAAACCCTAAACCCTAAACCCTAAACCCTAAACCCTAAACCCTAAACCCTAAACCCTAAACCCTAAACCCTAAACCCTAAACCCTAAACCCTAAACCCTAAACCCTAAACCCTAAACCCTAAACTCAAACTTTCTCACCCCCGAGCAGTGGGAAGCAGAGGTCGTTCGCGGCGTTGCAGCCGCCACGAGCGCCGCAGCCGTCCCCGGAGCAGCTCCAAAAGCCCCTCGTGCTGTAGAGGAACCCTCAACCCTAAACCCGAAACCCGAAACCCTGGTTTACCCTGATTGGTTTGGAGGGGGTTAGGGTTCAGGGTGTGCGAATTAGGCTTTAGGATTTGGGGTTCAGGATTGATCCAAACCTTTGCAGACGTTGTGTACAGGGGGTTTGTTCGGACCTGGCGTGCTTGAAGGAAGTCAGAGCAGTGAGCGTGCATGAACATGAACTGTTTGTCTAGTTTTGCCACTCTGCACTATTTAGTTATTAAAGCCTAAAGCCTAAAGCCTAAAGCCTAAAGCCTAAAGCCTAAAGCCTAAAGCCTAAAGCCTAAAGCCTAAAGCCTAAAGCCTAAAGCCTAAAGCCTAAAGCCTAAAGCCTAAGCCCTAAGTCGTTTGATTCGCTCCATATTCTTAGCCACCTTGACGACTTCACTTGTGCCAACTTTCATCATAATGGTGTCCTTCGTTGCGCGCTCAGGGTTCATTTGGCCAATACCGGCGCCTGAATAGTTAGGGTTTAGGGTTTCAATGTTATCCAGCCTTTAATGTTGCACCCTCTTTAGTAGGGGCCTCCTGAAAAAAAAGTCAACTTTGCCGGGCTATTCAGGTGAATAAAATCGAGTCTTCCGGGTGTCTGAAGAAGGTTTCGTGCGGCGTGCCTTTAAAACAAGATTGCGGGGACTCGCTGTCCCTTTAAATTCACATAGCCTCATCCCTTTCAAAATCGCATACACTCCCACGACCGACCGTCTGAAAGAGGATCAACTGTTCAGGGGTTGGGGGAGGGGGGGGGGGGGGGGGGGGGGGGGGGGGGGGGGGGGGGGGGGGGGGGGGGGGGTGGGGGAGAAGCACGCGCACTAAAGAGGGTGGAACATCACAACCCCCTCTGAGCGTAAATGCCAGAATACCCAGAATACCAACTGTCTGGTTCAATCGCCCCGCATATCAGGCCCGACTGTAACCCTAAACCCGACAAAACCCTAGTAGGGTTTAGGGTTTAGGTTTAGAGTTTAGGGTACTAAATGCATCAACCAAAGTTACCCCAAAAATGGAAGCAGCTGATGACTGAGGCTGAGAATTCTCGAGCCTCGTCTGCGCACTTAGGAGGTGGTCCTAAACCCTAAACCCTAAACCCTAGAACCTAGACCCTATAAACCCTCAACCCTAAACATGGCGCTTTCAACCTTTCTCCGCGGTTCATGGATACTGGTAAGTATGAACCTCCAGGTAAAGCAGCCAACCAAAACCAGAAGCTGGCTGAGAAGTGGCAGTTTTCAGGCACTTGGGGGCCTGATCTACCTAAAGGCTCCTAAGGCCCTGATTCCTGAACCCTAAGCCCTAAACGCTAAACCCTAACCCTAACCCTAAACCCTAAACCCTAAACCCTAAACCCTACGTCGTACCCTTCCCGGGGGTGGTATACTACTAGGACCTGGTCCAGGGTGCTTTTGTTATCAGGCAGGCCCTTGGGAGATGTGTAGAAATTTTCTTAACCTACACCCTAAACCCCAAACCTTGAACCCTGAACCCTAAGCCCTAAACCTTACTAGAAACCCTCATAATTAACCCCAAAACAACATACGTTAGATCCTTCAGGTAGGGGCTATTCAGCTAAACCCTAAACCCTAGGTGCTACATCCTAAACCCGAAAAAACCCTAAACCCTAGCTCCTCCAGCATTCATTGTTCAGGGCTCAAGGGCTTGCCGCGACTTTCTGCAAGGTTGGAGCCGCCACGAGGGGTTTAGGGTTTAGGGTTTAGGGTTTAGGGTTTAGGGTTTAGGGTTTAGGGTTTAGGGTTTAGGGTTTAGGGTTTACCTGCCATACCCCAGAAGAAGCCTAAAGCCATGCGCCTGATGCCTCAGTTCCCAGAAAGCTCAATACCCCTTGATTCAAGTAGATTCCTTAAATTGTAAAGGGATCCTTTCCTAAGGTATATTTCCTAATTAGAAGGGGGGCATGGGGCCTTAAATTATAAAGGGATCCTTTCCTAAGGTATATTTCTTACTTACAAGGAGCATGGGGCTCTTTGGGTTAGTCTTTCGTGCTTTTGAGTTCAGCGTGGTAGGGTTGTGGCTAGGGATTCGGGGCCAAGATCCCAGTATCCCTCAACCCTAAGCCCTAAACGGGAAACCCTAAACCCTAAACGGGAAACCCTAAACCCCAAACCCGAACCCCCAGACTCTAAACCCCAAACCCTAACCCCTAAACCCTAAACCCCAAACTTGGGGGGTTCCATGCTGTCCAAGGAGACGAGGCTGCAGTTTCAGCAGCAGCAGCTGCAGCAGAAACAAGCCCAAGTGCAACAGCTCGTTTTCGTGGCTCCGCGAGATTAGGGGCGGACCCGAAGTTGACGCACCCTGAACCCTAAACCCTAAAATTCAGAGAAAAACCTAAACCCCAAACCCTGAACCCTCTGGCTTAAAGAAGTCCCCCTAAGACTCTGAGCCTGCTTGATCCCCTACAGCCCCAAACCCCCCTCCAAACACTCGAAGGCCCCCAACCCCTAAACACGCATTGGCTAAGTTTCGAAACCCTAAACCATGAACCCTAAACCCTAAACCCTTCTTTTTTGGAGGCTACAGTACCTATTGTAATACAGAGCCTTCTGCTTACAGTTCCGAATGAGGAACCAACATCTAGAGAGCTTTCCAACAGCCATCCGCGGTTTAGGATTTACCCTAAACCCTAAACCTCAAACCCCAAACCAGGGTGTAGCGTGTAGGGTGTAGGGTTTGGGCGGTTGGGATGTCTCGCATGAAAGACTCGAATCGGTACCCTGGCTGCAGAGTACCCGAAGAGCAGACAGGGCTTAACAGCCCAAAGCCTTGAAAACATGTAAACAATAGGGTTTAGGGTTTAGGGTTCAGGCTTTAGAATTTATGGGTTTAGGGTTTGGGGTTTAGGGTTTGGGGTTTAGGGTTTGGGGTTTAGGGTTGAGGGTTCAGGGTGTAAGGGTTCAGGGTTTGGGGGCGATCTCAGGTGAACCCAATTCAGGCACAGATCCAAATCCAGCAGCTGCAGCAGGCCGCTTTGGGGATAAAGGGGGTTCGCGTTTAGGGTTTAGGGCTTGGGGTTGAGGGTTTAGGGTTTAGGGCTTAGGGTTTAGGGGTTGAGGGTTTGTCTCTTTTTGTGCTCTCTTGCCGTTTTTTTGTTCTGGGATAACGTCAAACAAGAAGGCCTAGGGTGCCTCGGGCCACTGAGCCATGGCGCCGTCTTCCGGAGGGGGGCGAGTTCTGGCTTGGGGCTATGTGGGCTGCCTGATGTTGTTGAAGAGTACCCTGTCATGTCTGTGCCTCGGGCCACTGCCGTGTTGTCCTGACGCCACGCCTCCGGAGTCTCCGCTGGCCTCTATGGGGCGCACTCGCAGGAGGGAGCTCACTCGCCTACTCAACCTGGCCTGGAACACCCACGTGCAGCCAGAACGCGAGTGGAACTGCATCGACATCAGCCGCGTTGGGTCCAGGGATGCAACCAGAGCTGGCAAGTGGCGCGGCTCATCTCCCACGTGTGTGGTTTATTGGGCATTCGAGTGGGCGAAGCTGCCCATCCTGGCCCAGGGACTCCTGGTAGGCGCCAAAGGAGCTCCTCGCCCCGTTCACCTCGAAGGCCTCCCTGCCAGGCTCGGCCAATGGATGGACCTACGCCCTCGGACGACATGGTTGTGGAGGCCTCGGGCGTGCGACAAAGACTGTTCTGCCCTGTCATAGGTTGCCCGTGTTCTGATCCCACTCGGACAGCTGGCTGGACCAGCAAGGAAACCATCCGGTCACACATTGACGCTCACCTGGGTGGTGCTCTGGCAGGGGAGGTCCCAGCAGAATGGCTGCAGGCCCACAACCGCCAACGCTGCAGTGTCTGCGGGCTCAGTGTCTCTACTCGCCACGGTGTGCACCCGACTTGCAGGCCTGCCGCGCGTGAGGCTTCAGGGCCTGCCGCTGGTTCTGCCGGAGCTGCGCCAGCGGGCATCTGGAGCGGCCCGTCCTTTGCTGACCTCTTGGCCTCGCGCACCACCACCCTGCGCCACGTTCCTGCCGCTGCAAGGCATGCTTGGAGCCAGGCTTTGTCGCGTGCTTTGGCCGCAGTGGCGCACAGCAACACCGAGCATGCCTGGCGCCAGCTGTTTCTGCTTCCACAGTGCGTCCTGTGCCCCCCACCACGGGGTGGCCGCAAACACCGCAAAGCAGCAGGCGCTTACACCCGTGATCGTGCCCAGCGCTGGTTGGAAGGCGAGCGTCAGTTTCTCTGGGAGTCCCGCCACATGCCAGCCCGGCGTGGTGGCAGGGCCGCGCCCAGCGATGAGGAACGGCGACGCCTTGCGACTGCTCTGACGCGGGAAGGATGTGATGGCAAGGCTTGCGCGGCTCTTCTGTCCAAGGGGCTTAGCCCGGAAACTGCTGCCACAGCTGAGGAGCTTCGCATGCTTCACCCTTCTCATCCTGCTCCGCGGGCTAGGTCGGAACGGGACTTACCTGCATCCCTGGACATTGATGCTGATGCGGTGGCTAGGGCGCTGCGTGCCTTTCCTGCCGGCACTGCCCCCGGACCGTCGGGTCTGCGAGCCCAGCACCTCTTGGACGCTTCTGCCCCTGGCGTTGTCCATGATGGATTTCTGCGCCACCTCACGGATGTGGTCAACCTCCTTGCGCAGGGAGCAGCGTGCAACAGCGTTGCCCCCTACCTTGCTGGTGCTGCCTTGGTCGCAGTTCCGAAGCCGAAGGGGGGTGTCCGACCCATTGCCATCGGGGAAGTCCTGCGGCGGTTAACAGGCAAGTGCCTTGCTGAAAGCGTGCGAGAGGATGCCAAAGCATTCTTCTGGCCTGTGCAGCTGGGCGTGGCCGTGCCCTCTGGTGTCGAGGTGGCGGTGCATGCGGTGCGCTCATACTGTGCTCGCCAAGCCAAGGCCACTGACCGGGTTCTGGTCAAGCTGGACTTTGAGAATGCTTTCAATACCATCTCCCGTGATGCGGTGCTGACTGCTGTCACTGAGCACTTCCCACACCTGGCTCGCTGGGTTCACTGGTGTTACAGACAGCCCTCTCACCTGCTCTTTGGTGCCTTTGGTGTGCAGTCGGCAGCGGGAGTGCAGCAGGGTGATCCGCTTGGCCCCCTCCTTTTCGCGTGTGTGCTGCAGAGCTTGGGTCGAGAGCTTAAAGCTGGGCCACTCGACTTGGCGGTCTTCTACCTGGATGACGGGGTGATTGCGGGCACGCCTGCCGCAGTCGGGCAAGCGCTGCGCCATGTTCAGCAGAGGGCCGCGGAAGTTGGCCTGCGCCTTAACCTGCGCAAGTGCGAAGCAGTGGCTGTGGGGGCTACTACAGCGGACAGCCTGACTGCGCACCTTCCCCGGGAAATTCTTTTCGGGGCTTCGGGGGAGGGGCGGGTCGCTCGCAACTTTGAGCTTTTGGGTGCGGCAGTTGGGGACGACGACTACACCGCAGCCCACACCCACGCTCGCTGCCAGGCTGCCGTGCCGCTCCTGGATGCCATTTCCGGGCTGGAGGACCCCCAGGTAGGCCTCAGGTTGCTGCGTGCCTGTGCCGGCCACGCTCGCTTGGTGCATGGCATGCGCTGTACGCCACCAAAGGCCCAGCTGTCTGCGCTCGAGGAGTTCGACGCTCTTGTGCAGGGTTGCTTCAGCAGCCTCACTGGCTTGCGCCTTACCGCGGAGCAGGTCCGGCAAACCCAGCGCGGCCTTGCTTTGCGGTCAGCTGCACGGGATGCGCCGGCGGCTTACCTGGCTTCTCTTGGTGGCAGTATCTTGGCGTGTGCTGACTTGGACCCCTCTTTCGAGGTTGCCGCGGTGCCACAGCCGTCCGCTGAACACGCCTTGCAGCTCCCAGATGGCTGAGGACGAATGCGTGCCCATGTCGGCCGCGCTTAGCAGCCGCCAAAAGCAGCTCACTGCCAAGGCCGATGCTGCAGCCTGGAACAGGCAGCTTGCTGGAGCGCTGCCCTGGGCCAGGGCTGTGCTTATCTCGGAGGCTGAAGCTGGCGCACGGGCTTTCCTGGCCGCCGTCCCCCACTTGCTCCGGCGCATGGACCCCGCCGTGTTCGTGGCGGAGTTGAGACACCGCCTCCTCGTGCCAGAGGCTGCAGAAGACATGTGGTGCCCAGAGTGTGACGGAATTATGGACTGTCACTCGTTGCACGCTGGTGTCTGCATTGCGGGTGGTGAACGCACCCAACGACACAATGCAGTTCGCAACCTACTATGCTCTTGGGCTGATCGGGCCGGGCTACAGCCTGAACGTGAAAGACCTGGTCTCTTACTCCCACAGCGTCCCGGCGAGGTGGGACTGGAGCGCCGCCGCCCCGCTGATGTCTATCTCCCATCGTTTCAGGGATCTCCAACTGCGCTTGATGTTGCTGTTACCGCATGCCAGCGGATGGAGACCCTGACCGAGGCTGGTAGACACGCCGGGGCGGCGGCAGCTGCTTATGCCCGTACGAAGGAGTCCCACCTCGACACCGCTCAGATATGCGCTGCTCAAGGGGTAAAGTTCCAACCCATGGTCCTCGAAAGCACAGGCACATGGGAGCCGGGAGCTAGCCGGGTGCTGTGGAATATTGCCCGGGCAGCCGCGGCACGCGAAGGGTCTCAAGCGGCCCTCCTCCACAGCCAACTTCTGCAGGAGCTCTGCGTGGCTGCACGCAGCCATCGGGGCAGGGCGGTGCTCCGCCGTCGTGCAGCTCTGGGCACTGATTGCGCCAAACGATGGGCCTAGCTCACTGCTACAAGGCGTGACGAAAGCGTGCAACTCCAGCTTACGTCCGCTGGCAAGGTCGTTCGGTGGAGCACGCCTCCTGAGGTACGAACCAGGTGTTGCGTGCTGCAGAACCTTTGCTCTTTTGGCTTTACGGCCATGTGCTGCACAGTACCGCCATTCTGTTTTCTCAAAGAGCTGGGACGGGGCACTCTCTGGGTGAGCTTCTTCTCCTGAGGGCAACTGTCATCTTGGCCCGCGTCTCTTCAAGTTTTGTGACACCCTCATACGAAGTGGTAGTCTTGTGCCAGGGGTGGTGCCTGGTAATTTAATTGTCGGGCCAAGTCAAGCTGGGGGAGGGCTTCACAATTCCCAGCCATCAAGTGCTGCCATGAGGGGCACACAGCAGCACGAATCCTGCAGAATCGCGCCGTGCGACCCTATATCTCAGACCCGAAACCCGAAACCCTGAATGGAAGCGCTTTCTTCAGCTACCATAGGGTGCAGGGTTCGGGGTTTCGGGTTTAGGGTTTAGGGTTTAGGGTGGGTGGGTGCTTAGCACATGGAGGGTTCAGGGCAGAGCTGCTTGACGATGGGATAAGGACCCTCAACCACCAAACCCCAAAACAGGACACGCTGAAGCTGCAGCAGCAGTGGGCCGAGAGCCGGCCTCAGAGAGCTAGGTTTAGGAGTTCAGGGCCCTAAACCCTAAACCCTAAACCCTGAACCCTAAACCCTAAGCCTTAACCCTAAACCCGAAACCCTAAACCCGAAACCCGAAACCCGAAGCCAAGCCCCCAAATCCCTTTAGCTAGGGTTTGGGGGGGTTTCGGGGTCCAGGCGTTTAGGGGTTTAGGGAGGGTTTAGACTTAGGGTTTAGGGTTTAGGGTTTAGGGTTTAGGGTTTAGGTCTTAGGTTTTAGGTCTTAGGGCTTAGGGCTTAGGGCTCTTGGGGCTCTTGGGGCTGAAAGTGCTTAGAGGGCTCAGGGCTTACAGGGCTTAGGGCTTATGGGGTTTAGGGTTGCCCAATATCCCTGTATCCGAAAACCCGGGCCCGAAAAACGCGGGGATTTTGCGAGAACAAGGCCCTGGCTTGCTACTAATCTAATTTAGGGTTTAGGGTCCTGGGTTTAGGGTTTAGGGTTTAGGATGGCTTTAGGGTTTTAGGATGGTTTAGGGCTTCGGGTTGGGGCTCTTTTTCGTGTACGCCCTAGACCCACAACCGCTAAAGCCCAAACGTATGCGACTGGCAACTGTTGTGCTTGCGGAATCCGAGTGGGCGCTTGGGGTTTAAGAACTAGGGTGCTTAGGGTCCAAAGTGCAGCTGTCTGTCACGCGCCAGGCATGCTTTCATCAACACATGGTGGGCTCTCTTCCCCAACTTAGGAGCCTTGTTGAGGCTTGCCAGCTTGAATCCTGTGGAAGATAATCATAGGATTTTCCCTTGGACCCCCAAGATTGTACCCTTGGGTTGGGGGACCCGTTTTGAAGATCCTCTAAGGGAATATCAGGGCCAGAATAGGAGTATATTAGGGGAACCTTAAGGGGTACAACCTTAGGGGTACGAGTCTTCATCCCTTTGAGTGGTAATGGGGCAAACCCTAAGCCCTAAACCCTAAACCCTGCACCCTAAACCCTAAACCCTAAACCCTAAACCCTAAACCGAGGGCGGCTTTGGGAGCACGATGTCTGTGGGAAGTAGACTTTCCCTATCCAAAAACCACCGGAGCACGGGAGGAACGGGTGCCCCAAATGAATGCCCGTGGCGCGTACCCCCCGAGAGCCCTGAAGCCCTAAGCGAACTGTATGAACCCTAATTCGCACCAAGAACGCTGAAACCCTGAAGCCGACAGCTCTAGCTCTGAAACGCTGAAACCCTGTAGTGTCTGAGCACAAGACTACTATTTGCTGAAACGCCGCCCCCCAATAATGTTTTCCTTATAAGGGCATATAGGCATTATCATATATTTTGGGGGATATAGTTTTGGGGGTTCTTAATCAAATAGTAGAAGAAGCTCGCTGTCTCGGAAGCTTCGAGGTATAGCCAACAGAAGGCCGAAATGGGAGTGGAGGCGCTCGCGCCGTGCCCTAAACCCTAAACCCTAAACCCTATATAAACCCTAAACCCTAAACCCCAAACGTGCTTGCCTTCCCTTCACGGCGCATGCAGATTGGTTTCTTGGGTTTAGAGGGATCGGGCTTAGAGGGCTCAGAGGGTCCAGAGCACTAGCGGGCGTACAGGGATTATGGATTTAGGGTTTAGGGTTTAGGGTTTAGGAATGAATCCGAAACCCTAAACCTAAACCCCCTATGTCCGGAGAGTTTTGCAACCTTGGCTAGGGGCTCGAGGAGTCAGGGACCTTTTCTGTAGCCCCTCCCGCCGGCTTAGGCTCTGTGGCTTAGGGCTTAGCCCTAAACCCTTAACCCTAAACCCTAAACCCCTGCAAAACCGTCCCTGAAGGATGCAGCACAGGCGACCAGTACCACTGTGGAAGCCGTCCAGGCGCTTGGACCGTGCCCTGGCTCAGCACCTAGGGGCTTACGAAAAATAGGGTTTAGGGTTTCGGGTTTAGGGTTTAGGGTTTAGGGTCTGTTTAGAGTTTAGGGTGGACCCCCATCGCTATGCCTTCTCCTTGTGTTCCGTCGTTGATTGACACTGCCCACTGAACCCCATCCTAGCCACTATAGGGTTTATTCGATTCTCGGTTCCACGAGGGTTTAGGGCGAAGGAAATCCTGAACAAAAACCGTCTTTGAATAGGGGTTAGATTGCAAGGGGGGTTTGTTCTTTTGACAACCCTAAACTGAACCCTAGACCCGCAACCCTAAACCCTAAAATAGCCCAAAAGAACCCTAGTCAATGAGACGATTAGAGCGGTTTCGGGTTAAGTTCAGGGTGGGGTTGAGGGGTGTAGGGCTAGGAGTTATTGAGGGGACAGGGGTAAGGGCTGACCTCACGATAACGGCTATACCGACTTTGGGTCATTCGGGATTCTTCTGGTGTGAAGTTTATGCTTTAGGGTTTAGGGTTTAGGGCTATAGGTAGGAGAGGGCCGGATGCGTGCGTTATGGTTTAGGGTTTAGGGGGTTCAGGTTTAGGGGGTTTAGGGGGTTTAGGGGGTTTAGGGGGTTTAGGGGGTTTAGGGGGTTTAGGGGGTTTAGGGGGTTTAGGGTTTAGGGTTCAGGGGGGGGAGTGCTAGAGGCACAGAAGCAGCTGAACATCTCCGCCTCCTCTTGCGCCGGCACAGAGTGCGTCACAAAAGTTCACCGCAAGACCCCAATAAACAGCAACAGCGACCCTAAACCCAAAACCCTCCCCAGACGCGCCCGGAAGGCCTTATACACGAGTCCGGCTTACCCTAAACCCTAAACCCTAAACCCTAAACCCTAAACCCTAAACCCAGGAAAGACACTCTACCCGACTGCAGCCTCCTCACCCTGAAGCCGAGGGGTGCAGTGTTTAGGGTTTCAGGGGTTTCAGGGGTTTCAGGGTTCAGGGTTGAAGGGTTTAGGGGTTTAGGGGTGTAGGGTATAGGGGTGGGAGGTTCAGTGCTCTGCGCGTGAGGTCTTCCAACACCAGTGCCGCCCCCGAGATGCAGCTCGATGCCACTCAGGCAGACATGGCAATGCTGAGTTCGGTGACCCTAAACCCTAAACCCTAAACCCTAAACCCTAAACCCTAAACCCTCAACCCCAGTCGGGTCCCCTTATGAAAAGCACCGGCAGTGTCTGCGGTGGCCCCAGCCGGCACCCCCGACAACTCTAAACTACAAGCCCTCAAACCAAGTGCAAGCGTCAAAATTCTGGACTCCGAACCTCTTGGGCGTAGGCATGAGGGAGGGGGCTCTTCAAAGATAGGGTCCCCTTTTGAGTACAGGTACCTTAAGAGAGGGCTTTTGCAGCTTGCCGGCTTCCCGCGTGCATTTTGGGGCGGCTTGCCTTTTGGGACATCCATTCAGTTTACTTTAAGTCAGTGCGGTTCTCATTGCAGGCTTCGCGACATTGATCACAGATCTAAGGCAGGACGTGAACAACATGTTTTAAACAATTTAGTCGGAACGTTTTTTGCAAGCACCGTGTTTGCCGCTCCTGGGTTTTTCTTGTGGTGCCTTCCTTGCCTCCTACCCAGGAGATCTATGGGGTCTTTTTGGTAGGCCAGACACAGTGGATGGGGTCGAAAGGAAAGGAAGTTACAGTAGAGGGGGACGCAGGGGTTTCTGTGAGAACCTCTGAAGCACTTGTCTCCAGGCCTGACGGTTTAGGGTTTAGGGTTTAGGGTTTAGGGTTTAGGGTTTAGGGTTTAGGGTTTAGGGTTTAGGGTTTAGGGTTTAGGGTTTAGCGTTTAGGGTTTAGGGTTCAGGGTTTAGGGATATCCTCCCTAAGCCCTAAACCCTGAACCCCATACTCGACCCACCTTCCAACTCCGTTGAAGAAGCTAGCTCTCTTTGAAGCTCCTTGTTTCGAGTGTGAGGTAGAGATGCTACAAGTCATACGGTATCTATCTACAGGAAGCGCAGGAAGAGCGAGAAGCTTGGCCAAAAACAACCCATAGCCTAGGTGGAGAAGCTACACCCCAAGCCCTAGAAGCGTTAAACCTCAACCCTAAACCCTCAGCCCTAAACCCTAAACCCTAGGCCCTGGAAGCCTTAAAAATCAACCTTAGGTGGAGCAGCATCTCACTCAGCTTCTGCAGCGCGAGCTGGGCCACGCTTGAGAAACTCCGGCATCTTGTGGAGGGGCTTGTTGGCTGAAGAGCCTCCACTCCGAAACCAGTGGGCACCCTTGTTGTTATGGTAACCCCGCCCATTAAAGCAAAAACATCTCATAAGGAATCATTAGGTATGATTAAGGTTCCGTTTTTTTCATCCGTATTCGAAGTTCTAGATCGCTATGCCTAATCACCGTGAAATCGAATATCTTGGTATATTAGGAAGATCAGGGCAAGCCATACAATGATTGTTGTCCCCGGATTAGCTCATGATACGCCGCCACTTGCTCAAACTAACCTTACGAATAAATTCCTTGTTCTCAACATACTATCAAGATATCTCGTCCTCGCCCCCCATTGTTGCCCTGGAATTACAGGCTTCAATTTTGATAAAAACCTTGTGCATCAGCTGGGTCTTTGGGCCGTAGGCGCGAGGGCCTACGAAGCCACTTAATAAAGATGCGATGGCTCGATGATGCCCCCGGACCCCTCGCGCTTTAGCAGCATCAGCAGACCCCCCCCCCCCCTCCCGACATGGGTGTCGATGATGTTTGGGGGCGGGTGAAGGGCAACACGGGTGGGATCGGAAGCGCGTGTGCAAAACTTAAAAAAAAAACGGTATTTGCAGCGATTTCAGCGTTTTGCAGCTTTCTTACTGCCTTGGGGCCGCAGGCAAGGGCTGTTGATGCTCATGATGCTCCCTGGTTGTGGACCCCCCCCCACTTCGAGAAAAATAATGTTGTCTGCTGATTAGTGTGACCCCCCCCCCCCCTCAACGAAAGGATCCCCCTCTTTAGTGTGGGGGGGGGGGGCTTTTGGGGGGGGGGGGGGGGGAGGACTGAGAAGGCCCAGAAGGAGCTCCAGAAGCTTTCTAGACAACAACACCATTCGACGGCCTCGCCGAAATTTTGCATCGCCCGATTTTTTTTCACAATTCCGGGGGTCCGCCTCAAATAGATCCCCCTGAATAATTTTTGGATTTTTTTCCACAATTCCGGGGGAGCACACTAATCAGGATACAACATTATGGTTTCGGCTTGGTGCGCGCCCGATATGACAAGCTAGGGTCGATGATGCGCACTCGTGAGGGTTTAATGGGGTATTGTGGATGTTTGGGGGCGGGCAAAGCTTGGATGGATTGAGAATTGATTTCTTGAAATTCTTCATCGGAGAGAGTGATGAGATAGATTCTTTAGTCTTTCGTGCAAACCTTAAAAGATTTCGTATAATTTATGGCAGATGGTCGCGCATAATTGGGTCTTCGCCCATGGATATGGGAGAGGAATTTTGGTAGGAATGGATACTATGGTGGTTTAGTGTTTAAGGATATAGGGGTTTAGGAATGATTAAAGACAAAATCATTTCATTCTTCAAGATGGTAGGCCAATTACGGCGGAAAAATTCGTATTGTAAGATCTCTCTTCGTGGGGAAGTTGTCGGGGGTAGGGCCGAGGCCATGATTCATATTTTTAGGATTTGGATTCGATTGAAAGATTATTAATATGATTATCTACTCTATAAATCTACTCTATAAAACGCTACGGTCAAACAAGCCCTATGCTGTGCGTCACGCCTCGGAGCGCCCCAGCCCCAAAATTTTCTGGAAATTTCTGGACCCCGGCGAGCAAACCGCTTTGGCCTACCCGGGACCCAAAATTTCCGGGAAATTTTGGGGCCTGGGCTGTGCCCTTTGAAAGACTAGGCCTCTTCAACGGCCGCAAGCCGGATTCGTTTCCCTAAATTTCTGGAAAATTTCTGGTTCCGGGTAGCCTGAAGCCTCGGTCCCTAAATTTCCGGAAAATTTGCTTCATCGCTTTCCTAAATTTCCCGAAAATTTACACACCCAAAATTTTCAGGAAATTTAGGAAACGGATGCAGCCTTCTTATCTTGGATGCCCGTATTCTTGCTGCATGAATTAGAACGTATGTCGCGGTTAAGCGGAGCACAGCTCGGGGTATTAGAGCGTATGTCACGGGCAAACGCAGCACAACTCGGGGATGCATTGAGGACGGGCTTACCCCCAAACCCACTGAAGCCGCATGGAGCCGCATGGAGCCGAATGGATCCGCGTGAAGGCGTACGGAACTTACACTTCCCACCTCGCGCGTGCCAGCAGGTCCCTTCCGATTAGCTTTGTGAGGTCGACGTTAGAGGCATGCCTGCAGGCCTGTCCTTTGGAAAAAAGTGTACCCAGTACGCTTTTAACCCCGAGGCCGCTCAGGAGCGTTACGTGGGACCGGGGGAAAAGTGTCCCCGGAGAAAAGAGTACTTGGCAACATACAAAGAGTACTTGGCCACGACGAAACTTGACTTTTCAGAGATTTGAACCAAAAACGCCCCAAAAACGTGAAGAAACCAAATGTTTTCAGAGATTTGCTTCCCACACAAGCACAGCTTAATATGTACAGACTTGAATCTGCATTCGGTTTTGTGGGGCCTTTCCTGCTTGAGAGCGCGCTCCTTATAAGATATGCGTGATTCTTCTCTCTGTCGTGGGGGTGTGCAGTGTGCAGGGTGTGGGTTTTGTGCGCGTGTGTGTCTGTGTGTGTGTGTGTGTCTGTGTGTGTGTGTGTGTCTGTGTGTGTGTGTGTGTGTCTCTGTGTGTGTGTGTGTGTGTGTGTGTCTGTGTGTGTCTGTGTTTTGGGGGGCCTGCATGTGTTTGTTGTGTGTGTGTGTGTGGGTGCGAGCGTGCGTGCGTGCGTGCGTGCGTGCGTGCGTGCGTGCGTGCGTGCGTGCGTGCGTGCGTGGGTGGGTGGGTGGGTGTGTGTGTGTGTGTGTGTGCGTGCGTGCGTGCGTGCGTGCTTGCTCGTGTGTGTTTGTGTCTGTGTGTGTGTGTGTATGTCTGTGTGGGTGTGCATGTGTGTCTCTGTGTGTGTGTGAGTGTGTGAGTGTGTGCATATGTGCATGCGCGTGTGCGTTTGTGCGTGCTTGCGCGCTTGCGTGTGCGTTCTGGGCTATACATGCAGCGAAGTCTTGTTGACGCATGGCATGAAAAGCGGCAGACGTCAATTATGGCTAACGCTTGATCATGATCGAAGCATGCGAATCGCAGTTGGCCGGTTCGCGACAAGCTGTGGGAGTGTCAGAAAGATAAGCAGATACATGAAAGTCGATCTGCATGTAAAAAATCAAATATGTGTTATATAAGTTATATATATATATATATCTATGTATTATATGTTGATGATATACAATATATAGATGTCTCTAATGTATATTCCGCGTATAGGGCAAAGCTGGTTTGCGATCTGATCGATCGATGGGGCTGCAGCAATATAGAAAAACATATAGGTAGCTATAGGTCGGCCTGGCCGCTGGCGGCATGGGCTCAGGATTGTTGAGGGGTTTATAGGGTTTAGGGTTTAGGGTTTATAAGGCTTAGGGTTTAGGGTTTAGGGTTTAGGGATGGGTGGTGTTGCGCATGGATGTTGAGGGGTGCGTGGGCCCGCCCTGTATTGTTTGAAGGATCTGCTGCTTTAAAGTGGTGTTAACTTTGGGGCTAACCTTGCAGGACTTGCCGGATTAAGGGTGTTGGAGGATTAATTGATGTATACTTCAGTGACTTTAAGGTTTGGGCTCTATAGCGGTCTTGTGTTGTTGTTGTGCTTCGGCTATAGCGAAGTCGCTCAGTATAATGGTGTTCAGGGCCTTGCGGCTCACGCATGGATTGTGCTTGAAATTTCGCTTCCCGATTCGAAGCAGCCGCTGTGCATGTGAGATGCGGTTCCTGCGTGAACTCAGTTTGTCGGCCCGGGCAATCCGCGTTTAATTGTGCTTGTATACACATCTGCGTATGGGCACATGCAGAAGTGTGATGCTCAGCTAGCTAGCGCAGGTGGAACTAAAGTTAGTTTCGTGTCAGGCCGGCTTCTTTTTTCTTAGCCATGCCACGCGCGTGCAAAGAGTTGCCAACCTTTCTGGCATCGCAATGGGCAACTTGCTTCATCGATACGCTGCAGAAGCTGGAACTCTCGCAGGACCGCGTTGTGAAGATTCCTAAATGAAAGGATTGCGCAATTTCAGGAACGAGTTGTGTGGGACCCATATGACTGGCATCAGTGTAGATCCACAGTCTATATTGTCTATGTTTTCGCTTCAAAATACGTCATGGATCAATATGGTCTGAAGGACAAACTTTTGGATTACTCCTTGGATGGTCTCACGGGGGAGGATGCAGCTGAATCTATGTCGGCAGAAGCAAGGAACGACCTCTTGGAAAGAAACTGCGATGTAGTGGGTGCGTGTCTACTCTCGAACAGTATATATACATATATATATATATATACATATGTATAGTCGTGGAGATTATTTAGCTGAACTTCTGCGTTGTCAGTGGAATTAATGCGTGTAAACTCAGGTTGCTGCTGGCTTCCTCAGGATGGGGGTCTGTCTTGCCGGTGGAGATGATCTCTGCGGTGCTGGCCCGGGTATATACCGGACAGGATGCCGATGGACAGGAGCCATCGATCGTGATACTTTTTTTCCAGTTACGCGGGGTCTTCGTCTTCGGGCTGGTTGGGCGAAGAAGTTAGAAATCACAGAACCCATTATTCGCACCGGCGATATATGGGTTAATTGGGGTTTAAGGTTTACTTTAGGGTTTAGGGTTTAGGGTTTAGGGTTTAGGGTTTAGGGTTTAGGGTTTAGGGTTTAGGGTTTAGGGAGGGCTTAGGGTTTAGGGTTTAGGGTTTAGGGTTTAGGGTTTATAGTTTAGGGTTTAGGGTTTAGGGTCTAGGGTTTATAGGCTTTAGGCTTTCGGTGTTGCAGGGTCGCGTTGGAAGCCTCAATTTTTGCGAAGCAGCATGGGTGTTGCTACAGAAGCTTTATGTTCTGCAGGAGATATCCTGTGACGTGCAGCTGGCCGCCAAACAAGCAGCAGTTCTGAAATCGTTTGCGGCGTGGTTGCAGCGTCTGAAATGTGAATGGTTGTTGGTTTCTATGTACGTTTGGCGAGTGATTTCGTTGTGATACGCGCAGGCCTCTTTCGTTGTGCGTGAAACGAAGA